GATCTGAAAGAGAACCCAAACCCGAGCAGAGAGAATACCACCGTTCCCTCTCCAGGGCGTCCATCCGCAACGATCCGCAGCCATGGCGATGGCTTACAAGATGGTAAAACCCACCTCCCCTGTCACGCGTCGGCGGCGTAGCCGCTTTCTCTCGTCTCGTGTGAAATCAAGCAGCCATGGCTCACGATCGACGGCGTGCTGTGTCCTGCGCGTGCGTGCGTTCGTGGTTTGCAGGCGACGGAGGGGATGGACGTGAAGGAGGAGTGCCAGCGCTGGTTCATGGAGATGAAGTGGAAGAAGGTGCACCGCTTCGTGGTGTTCAAGATCGACGAGCGGTCGCGCGCCGTGCTGGTGGACAAGGTGGGCGGCCCCGGGGAGGGGTACGAGGAGCTCGTGGCCGCGCTGCCCGGCGACGACTGCCGCTACGCCGTCTTCGACTTCGACTTCGTCACCGTCGACAACTGCCAGAAGAGCAAGATCTTCTTCATCGCCTGGTAATAATCCTGAGCCCCTCTCGCCTCTAATTTCCCGTCGAACTCTCTGAAACAACCAATTCCGTCCTCGTAAAAGCTCAATCCCTTCTCTGATCTCTGCCATGGCGATGATGATTATTACTGCTAATCCAGCATGCAGTAAGAAATTTTGTTAGGAAAGGTAATACCACTAAACCTGGTAAATTGAAGTGAGAAGAACCAATTAAGGCTCCGTTCGTTTACACCGTTCTCGGTCAATCCTGGCCAGGAATGCTTCCGGCCCTATAGAAAATATATGGTCAATCCTGGTCGGAACGGTTCCGGGACGTCATTCCCCGGGAACCGAACAGGGCCTAATTAGGTACGGGGATGCTGGAAAGATCCGGTCCATTCCCATTTAGGCCCCGTTCGGTTAGCACTGTTCCAAGCAGTTCCGGGCCGAAACGGTTCCGATGCTTCGTAAATTATCGAAGGAAGCCAGAGACTGGAATGGTTCCCCACCCAACCGAACAAGGCCTTACTCATTGCTGATTTGAGCATTCATGTACAGAGTAACCTTGCCACGGTACTGTCCATAAAGGCATAAACCCAACCTACACGGTAGCAGAACCGTATATGTCAACTTGTCAAGTTTTTCTCTGGAAGCATTCGTGCAGCTTGGAAGATGCGCAAGCGAACCATAAAACTACGGCAGCCCTGAAACCAAATCCCCCGTCCGTCTCTTGCACCGTTGGAAAAAAAAAAACCCGGGGTTTGGTGATCGTAGTCGTAAAAAACATGACGAAAAGCTAAGTGATGAATGAAACGGCATCTTGCAACTGAAAAGTCAAGGCAATCTCGAAACTGTTGTTTGGTTTGACAGAATGAGAATATTGTAATTTCCTACAGTAAACTTTGAAGGCAGTCTACAACATGTCCTGTCGCTTGTCTGAAGGAAAGCAAACCTGTCCTCTCGAGCCTTAGAGGTGCAGGAAGGCATCACATAATTCACAATTGACTAGAAATCTGCAGATCTAATGACTGTTCAGTCAGTGCTGCATCCTTATCTCACAAAGCAGGAAGGTGCGCGCGCCAAGCTTTTTCGGTTTTTTCTCCACAGGGAAAAAAGTTGCTTGCGGCGCTCATCCCCGCTGGGATCATGATCATGACGGGGACCAAACTTTCCTGATAAGCCCTGGCCAGGCCTCCCATTCTCCCTGTCACTGCTGTCTTGAGCGCTCTCTACACGCATTATTTTTTTCCAAAGCCTGCAGTGTTAAGGACGCCCGTTATTTTATCAGATATGATCTAAGCCTGAATCCACCTGTTGTCTAGATCTGTCAGCCCACCGAAAGCAAGCATCGCCCCACGATGACAGCCATAGGCAAAAACTGTCCAATCCTCCAGTTTATGAGCCATACATTTATTTATGATAACAAATCCGTCAGCAGAAACGAGAGCAACTATATTTATATACTTCTTTCTTGATTTGTCCGTGTCCGGCAACAACAACACCAGTCAGGATTTGATCACCACGAGTAAGAAGGACGACCGGATTATTTAATTACTGTTAACTTGTCAACTTGCTCCAGTGTCCACTTGTTAAATAAAGCACTATGATTCTGCTGGCGACCGCTGGCTGCTGGTGCGCTGCATTTCCATTCCAGTGGGTTATTGCGCAGGCAGTTGTCCTGTGAGTTCTAACGGGTGGATTCGTTGCTTGGTGCTGCGCTTCTCTCCTGCGCAGGTCACCGGCGGCGTCGAGGATAAGGGCCAAGATCCTGTACGCGACGTCGAAGCAAGGTCTGCGGCGGCTGCTGGACGGGGTCCACTACGAGGTGCAGGCCACCGACCCCTCCGAGATGGGCTTCGACGTCATCAGAGGCCGCGCGCAATGAGGCCCGCGCTGCGCTCTTCTCCTACTTACTGCTACCTGTGCGTGTGCTCCTACTACTCAGTACTCCCCTCTCTGCGTGCGTGCGTGTGTGATCGGCCGGATGCTAATTGGCGTTGGTGTGCTCCCGTAGCGATAACGTCGATGATGCCAATCTGACGAGGCTTGGCGTGTGTTTGCTTTGCTATTTTCGGTTTCTTTGGAGAGATGATGCAGGCGTGGTGTGCTGATGTTCAGCCTGTTAGTTGGATTAGGCTGATAAGTTCGGTTGGTGCTGGTTTGTTGTGAGAGAAAAATACTGTACCTTACTGAAACTAACAAGTGAACAGGCTGAACATCTACAAGCGAACAGGCTGGTTGATGGGTGAACAGAAGCTGAGGGAGTAGCAGGGGATTAATGAAACGTCCATCTCTGCGACGTAGAATTCCACTGAACAATGCTCCAGTGTACCATAAGCTGCTTCAGATTTGATCGCGTTTCTCTCCGAGGTGGTGCTTACTTGCTATTGTTTCTACCTACATTTTCTTTAGAAAACACCTTTTTACGTACAATTCAGAGCAAAGCTGTTCCGTGCTTCCATTTTTTGTTCAAAGAATGTCAGAGTTTCTGCCCAAGTTTCATAAAACGATTATGTAAAGTAGTTTGGGGGTGCCAGTCTCAATTTCTGAAGTATGTAGAGAATCTGCTCTCCAACCCTCTTCTGCGGTTGATTCAAAGGAAGCGATGTAGATGTTGGGACAAGAGCAAGTGTTCAGATCTGAAGAGAACAGTGAACACAGTTAATCTCAAGGTCGCAATTCTTGGTACATGTGGCAGGAGAAGCTGGGGCCCGAACCTTGCAACCCAAAGGCACCCTTGTCGATTCAGGCCCTGTTTAGATACCACCCAAAATCCAAAAATTTTCAAGATTCCCCGTCACATCAAATCTTACGGCACATGCATGGATTATTAAATATAGGTAAAAAGAATAACTAATTGCACAGTTTGGCCGTAATTGGCGAGACGAATCTTTTAAGCCTAAATAGTCGATAATTGGACAATTTTTATCAAATACAAACGAAAGTGCTACAGTAGCCAAAAGCCAAAATTTTTCGCATCTAAACGGGGCCTCAGTGACGCTCACAAGTCACACAGAGATCTTTGCTCAAAAAAAAAAAGTCACACAGAGATCTGGCAACTGGCGGAGCCCTCATTTGCATGGATGTTGGCATGTTGCTCGCTCAAGAGACGCCAAAGTTCCTTCGTTATTTCTCTGAATTAAAAGTTAAAAGAAACAATAAGTGCAATCTCATATGAATTAGTCTATATATAGACCTGATCACGTATTTCACTGAGCATATTTGTCTCGCCAAACATCGTGCATAAAGAGAAAATGCTGGGCTGGGCAGGGCATGGCCCCGTTCTTCAGAATCCACACCGCTGCAAAAAATCCAGCCAAAAAAGTCACCGATTTTGCGCCACAATTTGGGCGCCTCGTGACCTTTTAACTCGTCAGGCGGACAGAGAGCAAAGAAACAGAGTCAATGAAGAGGTCACCGCTTTCGCGGGCAGGGACCTAATGATTCGGTAACGCCTTTTCGGCAGATGCCCCACTGAAAAACGGGCGTGGCTAGAGCCCCAAAGCCCCCTTTATCGCCAAAGCACGCTCCCGTCCCCGCTCCCTGATCCGGTTTAGGATCCATGCCACATTAATGCAGCGCATACGCCTAATCTACGTTTAGCCTTTGGCCTTTGCGACCGGCTCAGTTCAGGTCCGGAGGTCCCCTCTCGTGTTGTCGCAAAGCCATACATGCGTATCGCCATCTCCTGGGACCCTACGACGACCCCGAGGATCTTAGCAGCAGTATCACAATCGAGCAAAGTGCCAGGTCCTCGCGATATCCTTTCACGCTTTCATGCAGCTGTATCCCGAGGCTATGCTTTCATGCAGCTGTATCCTGTTGTGCCGATATACACCGTATTCGCTTGAGCGTTTACATGACTTATAAGCATATAGATGTTGTTTTATTGTAAGAGAAAAATACTATAATAAGCATTACTCATACGATGAAGCGATCAGGGTAATAGAAATTGGCCTAGATGTTCGAGAAAGATCAACACACCTACACGAGACACCCGCGCCATGCGGTCCTGCCACGTCCCACCGCTCATTTTGAAGATGGCGATGGCCACCCAGGATCTCGCTACCTGGTGCTGGTCGATTCGGTCGCTCCTTCCCTGCCCACAACCGCAAGCGTGGCCTATCCGCACGGAAAGCACACGGCGGCAGCCACCAGCGTCCCACGCGCCCCACGACCATTCCCAGACCTTTTCCCACACTGACGCCCATCTGACTGAAATCCCAGTGCTCAGAAAACAAAAAAAAATCTGACTGAAATCCCACGGCGGCATTAACCATGCCAGGGACGTTGGTGCTGGGAACTGGGCTGCTGGCAGCGGGGCAAATGTTGTAGGAGAGTACACGTACGAAGAACGAAGCCCACGTCGAACGGCCAGCGCAGCGCAAAAAGGCCAAACTGCTGCTGCCCCAACACCCCCACTACCCCGCAATAACTCCCCGCGCACTGTTGCCGCTTCCACCGCTCGTCCTCGGCATCGGCACGGTGCCATCACTCTCCCACTCACGGTGTCTCGCTCGCTCGCTCACTCACCGATGGCGACTCCTCGCTCCCCATTCCTCCTCCTCCTCGGCCTCGCGCTGGTGGCGCTGACGGCGCCGGCGCTACTGCGAGCAGATGGCGGCGGCGAGGAGGCGCGGAAGACGTACATCTTCCGCGTGGACCACGGCGCCAAGCCGTCCGTGTTCCCCACCCACGCGCACTGGTACGCCTCCGCCGCCTTCGCCTCAGCGGCGCCCGGGGCCGCCCCGCTGCAGCCGCTCCACGTCTACGGCACCGTCTTCCACGGCTTCTCTGCGTCCATGCCGGCGTCCCGCGCCGAGGAGCTGCGGCGCCACCCGGCCGTGCTCGCCGCGTTCGAGGACCGGGTACGCCCGCTGCACACCACCCGGTCGCCGCAGTTCATGGGCCTCCGCGCGCGCCTCGGCCTCTGGTCCCTCGCCGACTACGGCTCCGACGTCATCGTCGGGGTACTCGACACCGGCGTCTGGCCCGAGCGGCGCAGCCTGTCGGACAGGAACCTGCCGCCCGTCCCCGCGCGCTGGCGCGGCGGCTGCGACGCCGGGCCGGGGTTCCCGGCCTCGTCCTGCAACAGGAAGCTGGTCGGTGCGCGGTTCTTCTCGCAGGGCCACGGCGCGCACTTCGGCGCCGCGGCCGTCGCGTCCAACGGCTCCGTCGAGTTCATGTCGCCCCGTGACGCGGACGGCCACGGCTCGCACACCGCCACGACCGCCGCAGGCAGCGTCGCGTACGACGCCAGCATGGAGGGCTACGCGTCCGGGGTCGCCAAGGGCGTCGCGCCAAAGGCCAGGGTGGCCGCCTACAAGGTCTGCTGGAAGGGCGCCGGCTGCATGGACTCCGACATCCTCGCGGGCTTCGACCGCGCCGTCGCCGATGGCGTCGACGTCATCTCCGTTTCAATCGGCGGCGGCAGCGGTGTCACGGCTCCGTTCTACCTCGACCCGATCGCGATCGGCGCGTACGGTGCAGTCTCCCGGGGAGTGTTCGTGGCCACCTCTGCCGGAAACGAAGGGCCGACCTCCATGTCAGTGACCAACCTCGCCCCGTGGCTAGCCACCGTTGGCGCCGGCACCATCGACCGTAATTTCCCCGCTGAAATCGTGCTGGGCGACGGCAGACGCTTGTCAGGTGTGTCCCTGTACTCCGGGAAGCCTCTGGCCAATTCATCTCTGCCTCTGTACTACCCCGGGAGGACTGGCGGGCTCTCCGCTTCGCTGTGCATGGAGAACTCCATCGACCCTTCACTGGTGAAAGGCAAGATCGTCGTCTGCGACCGCGGCAGCAGCCCGCGCGTGGCCAAGGGAATGGTCGTCAAGGAAGCTGGTGGCGCGGCGATGGTTCTTACTAATGGAGAGGCCAACGGCGAGGGGCTGGTTGGAGACGCCCACGTCCTCCCTGCTTGCGCGGTGGGCGAGAAGGAGGGCGACGCGGTCAAAGCGTATGCTGCAAACGCCTCCAACCCGACGGCGACAATTAGCTTCGGGGGCACGGTCGTCGGCGTCAAGCCGGCACCCGTGGTGGCCTCCTTCTCGGCGCGTGGACCCAACGGGCTCGTCCCGGAAATTCTCAAGCCGGACTTCATCGCGCCGGGCGTCAACATCCTCGCCGCGTGGACGGGCGCCACAGGCCCGACCGGCCTGGAGGGCGATACCCGCCGCACGGAGTTCAACATCCTGTCCGGGACGTCCATGGCGTGCCCGCACGCGAGCGGCGCCGCCGCGCTGCTGATGTCCGCGCACCCCGGGTGGTCGCCAGCGGCGATACGGTCCGCGCTGATGACCACGGCGATCGTGACCGACAACCGCGGCGGGCCCGTGGGCGACGAGGCGGAGCCCGGGCGCGGCGCGACGCCGTTCGACTACGGCGCCGGGCACATCACCATGGGCAAGGCCCTGGACCCCGGCCTGGTGTACGACGCCGGGGAGGACGACTACGTCGCGTTCATGTGCAGCATCGGGTACGAGCCGAACGCGATCGAGGTGGTGACGCATAAGCCCGTGACGTGCCCCGCGGCCGCCGCGACGAGCAGGGCCAACGGCGGCAGCCCCTCGGGCTCCGACCTCAACTACCCGTCCATCTCCGTGGTGCTCCGCGGCGGCAACCAGTCCAGGACGGTGACCCGCACGGTCACCAACGTCGGCGCCCAAGCTTCGGCGACGTACACGGCGCGCGTGCAGATGGCGTCTACCGGCGCCGGCGTGACAGTATCCGTGAAGCCGCAGAAGCTCGTCTTCTCCCCGGGCGCCAAGAAGCAGAGCTTCGCGGTGACGGTGACCGCGCCGTCCGCTCCGGCCGCAGCAGCGCCGGTGTACGGGTTCCTCGTCTGGTCGGACGGCGGCGGGCACGACGTGCGGAGCCCCATTGTGGTGACGTGGCTGCAGCCCATGTGACTATCAGGTGGGGACAACGCCACGGCCTGTGCAGCGGGCCCTGGGACTGCCTAGGATGGCAGCAGGAGTCAAGGCGCAGTGGGCCAGTAACGGTAAAGTCGTGAGGTCGGGACTGCGCCATTAAAGGTGGCAGCGGTCGGTACTTTATATGTTGGGTGGGTCCTGCACGCTCGCTCTGCAGAATTTGATTAGCCGGGGCCCGGGGCATGCTGTGACAGTATGGGCTGTCCGGGTATATAGTGTGACTACTGTGAGTGAGTGACAGTGGTGTGTGAAAAACTGAAAACTCTGGTGTTTTTACCTGCTTTGTTTGTGTCTGGAGGCAACAGTCCTTGCCTGCCACTGGAAAACAGGACACAGGAGCAACGGAAAGAAACGGAGCAACAAGACAAAGCTATGTTATGAAATGAAATACTGCTAGCGTTAGCGTGGGTATTTCTATGTGGATTATCTGAATAATTTTATCGTCTAGTACTTGCATTCTCTCCCGCCTAGTAGAAGTTTTGTCTGTTTATAGAGCATTTTTTCGTCTTCGCATCTGATACTGCAGGATTTTGCTGCTTGTTGCCGGGCAGTCAACCTGTTCGCTTACGTTGAAATTTAGCTTACGTTGAGATATTGATACAGAAAAATGCTGTTCCATGATAGAAAAATAGCTCAACGTGGCTGCACGATCTCGTGACCTGATAAAGTTCGTTGGATGCTCTTATACAAATGGGTGGTGGGTCCAACTCGGTATTCGCGTATTCGTTAGATGTTCTTATACAAATCGGTGGTGGGTCCAACTCGGTATTCGCGTATTCGATACTTTTGGGTCGTTTTCCACGAGCACTTTACCCAGCAGCACCAACAACGAGGAAAGCTGGCTTGAGCATATTGACGCTTCTCGAGCTGTGCGGGGTCATCAGGCGTTCGGCCCACGTACGTAGACGCTCCATTGCTCCTACTTGAGCGTCAATCTAACTGATGAAGTAGCGTTGCTGTGCATCAATGATCAATAGCCTCCTGGATTAAAGAAAATATCAATAGCCAATAATGGGTCACGCTGTCTTGACGGTGACACCTACGAGGCCACGAGTCCTTAGACAGAGCTCTCCACTGGCACCGTGCGGGTTGGCAATTCGCTAGTAGAGCTTGGATGATAATTTCGCCTCCTATCCGTTACATACCACTGCCATATCACTTAGAGGTAATAATATAGCCTGAAATATGTTGCCTGTTAAGTTGGCTTGGAGGTTAACTATGTTAAACATACAAGTATTTAATATCTGCATATGCATATATTTTCTGTGCTCAGCACCTTTGTGGTCAACATCAACCAATGTAATAATATGAAAATTGAAAACGATACAAAGTTTGGCCTACCAGAAGAAATCACACTTCCCACGAAAGATTTTGAACATTTTTTGTCTTTATAATGTAAAAAATGTAACAGTAACAATTCCTTTCCAAATATATGGCTTATCAAAAAGATGTGTGTAACTAATTTGTTCTAAATACACTAGCAGCAGCGCTGTGGGCTGTAGCAGGCTGACGGTCTGTCACAACTCACAAGGTACACAAGAAAAAACAGGATATCAAGCCACCATCAAACTTGCGTATGCAAGCTAAGATAACGAACGTATAAAAATGATTGTTTTGACTCCAAGTATTCTACATTTCTACTTCAAAATCCAATCAAGCACAGGCACTCTGACGGTACCCAGTAGTCCATGTGTGATCAGTGACGCCGAGTTCCAACGACCGGCTTCAACTCCACCGTAGTCCGTACTCGTCGTTGCAGTCTTCACCGGCAGTGGAGTCTCCATAGACGCTAGTGCAGCATGGAGGTCCAATTTGGCACGAGGAAGGTAGGGTGGAGCATGTCAAACCAACTGAAGAAGTAGCAAATCTGGATGTTGATCCTTCTCACCACTATGATTCTGATACCCTCCCAGGGTATGACAGTCCAAACTCAGTTGGTTCTAACCGCAAACCAGAAGAAAAGGAGAAGAAAGGGAAGCGAGTTAAGCGAGGTGATGACATGGTTCATGAAATTGCCGGGTCCATGCAGGCTATGTCGGAAACAATGCGCTTTACTCATGTCAGTGATCCAAACGAGAGTATTTACAAAGCCATCGATAACATGGAAGGATATCCTTGGCTGGTACGCCTTGATGTGCAGACTTATCTTGCTGAAAATCGCCACATTGCTAGCATGTTGAAGGGGCGGCCGGAGGAAGCTGTCAAGCAATGGGTGGCACGATGGGTCCGGGATCGCCTATCCTGTGTGAAATCTGCTGATGACACATTAGTATTTAGTAGTGCGAAACTCTATACGGCAACTTGCATATTTTGGCCTTATATAACAAACTGCATATTTTGGTAGTAGTATGAAACTGAATCTTGGGGTACTGTGTACTTTGGCCATATGGATAGCCGATGACGTAATTTGGACATATAAAACTGTATATGGCATGTAGTGTATTTTGACCTTACCAGACTATAAATAGCAGGTTTGTCATTGCTAAAGACTGCAATGGACTTTGTAATGTCGTTTCATTTGAAATGTTCTTGTACTGTTGGCTCTTGAAGTAGTAACTTTGCAAATGTTCAGTCGCAAAGCTTAAATGTTCTTGTAGTAGATGGATGGCGGTAAAGTGCTGACTGCTGAGTGGCATGTATTTGGGTAAGGGTTCCAAACAAGCAGGACAATAACCTTGCCAGCAAAAGCAAGTCTGTAGCAACGCTACCAAACAGCTTGCCGAGTAATCTTGCTCATCCTGACAAAACTACCAAACACCCTCTTGCCACAGCTAAACCTTGCCCAGCAAGGTGTTTTGCCCATCCAAGCAAGGCAAGATGCTAGTGAAAGAACCAAGCAGACCCATAGTGACATGGTCCTAAGGGGTTGAAGGGAACCCCTACTTATAGTGTTGCATCTCTAGAATTGTGACATACAGCTTATTCATTCCATATTGTTCTACAAAAATATCCATACTAATTTTTTTCCTCATTTTATCTGGTTTCTATATATTTGTTTTGCCATGTAAAAATATATGGCTCTAGGATTGTCGGTGTTTTCGGACCACCGACGAGTAAATTTGTATTTGCGCGTCTGGCTCGGATGGTGTGCTCGGAGGACACAAGTGTTTATACCGGTTCGGGCGAACGTCCCTACGTCCAGTTTGCTACTGCTCATGTTACCGGCACTTGGTTTGCAGTAGGGGTTACAAACAGGCGAGAGAGGGAGAGAATCCCATGTCTCTGGTGGAAGGATTGAACGGGTGCAGAGAGCTCGCTTGCCGCTTCAGCCGTGTGCTCGTGTCGTGTTCTTGTGTCCCCCTCTCCGGTAGGGGCGCCCTGCTTCCCCTTTTATAGGCGAAGGGAAAGCGCGGGTTACAGATGAGGAAAATGAGAAGAACGAGAGAGAAGAAGGCTTCCAGGGTTACCGGGTCCTTCTTCTCCTTCATGCGGGTCCCGCCGATTCTGTAGATGTCAACAAGGACAACTCCATGTCGCGGCCCTATCCGTCACTAACACCATGCGCAGGCGTCATCTGCCGGTCATGGCATTCTACTCTGTCCCGGCGGACGTCGTGGTGAATTGATGCACCTGTCAGCGTCCGTACGAGGATTAGGTAGAACAGAACCAGCACGTCCGGCACTGTTCTTGATGTGAATCCCTAGTTATGGCCCGTCATGGCCACGGGTTACATCGAGATGTGCCGGCCTCTTCCCTGGCGTCAGAGTTTTGACCCAGACCCATACGCTTGGACCTGGAGTGGTTGGCGGCGGTATGGGTCCCCGTCGGACGAGACAGAACCCGCGTCCTCGAGGTCGGTCGAGATGGAGCACGCGACCTTAGGCGAGATGGAGCCCGCATCCAAGGGGTCGGACGAGACGGAGCCCGCGTCCTTGGGGTCGGGCGAGACGGAGCTCACGGCCTCGAGGTCGGGCGAGACGGAATCCGCGTCCTTGAGGTCGGGCGAGACGGAGCCCGCACCCAAGGGGTCGGACGAGACGGAGCCCGCGGCCTTGAGGTCGGACGAGACGGAACCCGCGTCCTCGAGGTTGGGCGAGACGGAGCCCGCGGCCTTGGGGTCGGGCGAGACCTTTTAATACGTCTCGAGCCATCCGGAAAAATCAACCTGAGAGCTAACTTTCTTGCTTTAGGTATCCCTGATATCGATACTCGACAAGGATATTCGATACTTTACCATGATGCATGGTTAATATCTTTTTCTTTTGCCATGAAGATAATTTGAGGGTTTTTTATGGCAAATATCTTCTCCATTGTAATCATCAAAATCTTCTAGAAACTTTCAAGGTAAATGACTTCTGTTATGCAATCTCCAAACTCTTGTCGACACAACTTTTTCCTCACTACAGACTTCTATGCCGCGGAGCTGCAGGATGCCGCCCTCTCCTCTAATGCCGCCCTCTCCTCTAAGGCCCCCATCATCCTAAACTGCTTCAGTGGTGCTGACACTCATGGCGTTGGAGCGTTTACGTGTGGGTCGTGTTTCGTTTCGACGGTTTTTGTGTCAGGCCGTGCCACGCAGGCCTATTCCTTGACAAGCCTGTAAGGCAGAATAAAGTATGGCCCAACAGCCATCCGATTTCGCTGGATTGGTGCGGCCGTGCGGGGCTGCGGGCAACACCACTTCGCAGTTGGCACGCAGCAGGTGGCCGGTTTCCGTTTGGCCCACCCACAAAAGCCTCTTGAGCATAGCAGCGCCAGCTGCTTTCGGCCTTTTTTGGGAACCACCGCGAGCTCCATTAAGAGGATGCAATCTTACGTGGGCTGAAATGCAGCCCACTACGCGTCCTTTGCGATCTGCCCTTGCCCTGTCCTGCTGGTCGGCGCGAACTCTGCGTCTCTGCCTGCGCTTCCGTGCCGTCGTTGGCAGGTCCATCTTGGCAGGCTGCAGGCATAGGAGTACGACGGAGACCACAGACTCGCCTCAACTCTCCGTCGCCGTGATGCCAAGGTACGAAAGAGAAGTTTGCTGTGCGTGC